GCAACTCCCAGAATTTCACACCCAGCACAGTCACTGGGCAGACTCCCCATGGAATTCTGGGAGATGTCATGCAACTCCCTAAAGAAACATGTCTCACTTCTTCAGCAGTTCTGTGGGGCCAAATGAGCCTAGGAGCAATTCAAAGGCACCACCATGTACCTGGGAGAGCCTGTCCTTTTCCCAGCAATGTAATGAAGTCAAGCCGAGGTACATGGTTTGAAAGATGCACAATGGAAAGACTTATAGCTATTATTCTCTGAAAAAGAATTTCAATCGAAGCCACATAAGATTTTTAAGAGAAATTTAATTATTTACTGCACAGCTGTTGCTCAGTGGGCAGCAAGACTTTAAGGCTACCCTGTCTAAAGACTGCAAAGAGATTATTTAATTTATTTATTTATTTATTTACTTACTTATTTATTTATTTATTTAATTTTTACCCCGCCCCTCTAGACCATGTCTACTCGGGGCAATTATTTAAGGAGGATACGCGAGAACAGTTAAGAAAAACAGAACATGATGGAGAGAACATTTTCTTTACTTCCTAATCGATACCCAGCCCAAAGCAACACACGCTTACTCAGATGTAAGTCCTATTGAGTTCAAAGGCGCTCCCAAATAGGTATCCACTTGATGACAGCCTTATTAGCTTTTTCTTTTTTACAGAAGTTGGGGAGTCCAATCCCTTAGACATCCTAAAGCATCAACTAGATAATGTCCTGAACCTGTCATATGCTATAATCCCTCAGAACCCTCCAGAGGTTGCACACAATGTAGTCTGTAATGCACTTCAACTATCATGATCTCTTCTAACCCTGGTCGTTTATTGAGGAGCAGCATGCAAGGGTGCACTGCCTGAACATTCCTCCTTCAAGGGGAGCAGTAAAGCCACCTACAGACCTGCAGTTTGTCATAGCATGTTGTCCAAACCTGGCAGGAGCCAGCAGTTTGCTTCTCCCTCAATAAACATACATTGTTGTTGGGTACTATTATTACTATTAAAATATATTCAAAAATCCGAGGCACATTCAATCAAAATTATAAAAACATTGACTGGTATTATATAACAGATACAAGTTTTAACAAAAAAACTGTCTGTTAAATATCGGTGCAGTTATGTATCCTGTGCCTAATATTGCTGATTTTTGTAGCTCTGATTATATTATTTCTGAGATCTGCAACTGCTTTATAATACTATGGGAAATTTCTTGATATTGTTCCCCAAGCCCCAATGACTACAGGGTCCACTGAAGTGTGTTTTATCCACAAACGAAATGTTTTGATTTCCAGGTCTCTGTACTCTGTACTGTTAGTTTTTCCAATTCTTTATTTTCAGCTCTGGCCTAGAATTGCAATGTTAATGATCCAGACATTTATTTATTCTATTACTACTATGTCTGGTGTGTTATGTTCGAGATGTCTATAAGTTTCAATCCAGAAATCCCACAAGATCTACATATTGTCATTTTCCAACACCTTCTCTACCTGATGTTCCCATAGTTTTTTGGAGGCTGGCAAGTTATATTTTTTGCATAATGACTAATTGAATACAGTATTTACATCTTGACTGGTCATGCAAGCTGGGGAGGGATTTGGAGAATTATAGTCCTCTTACCAAAATGGTAAGAACTAGAATCAAAAAAGTTTGCATACTCTTTCCTCATTTCCCAACTTAAATAACTGGAATAGGTTATGTATCAACAAGTCATGCAGGCTGGGGAGAAGAAGATAGCACTGGAGTGGGAGTGGGACTTGTGGGTTCCTAACCTGAGGTAACAGCTAAGATTAGTACTGGACAGGATTACTGAGATGGAGAAATTGTTTATTTATTTGTTCGCTCATTCATTCATTCATTCAATCAATCAATCAATCAATTGACCCATCAGTGCAAGCATTTGGGCAGCTTTCAGAAGATTAAAACTCACAAATCCTCAATATCCCACAATAACAAAAATACAATTAAAAAACAATATGACAATAAAATAAATAATTATGACCATAAATATCAATAACCCTATAAAAATCTAGAATTATTATAAAAATTATTTACAGCACCCCAAAAACTCAGTTATTAAAGGCAGCTTTAAATAATTTGGTCTTTACCATCTTTCTAAAGATAAGGTGGGAAGGAGCCTGGTATATCTCTGTCAGCATTTTATTCCAAAGATTAGAGGCCACAATCGTTGTATATACAGTGGTACCTCGACTTACAAACTTAATCCGTATTGGAACGACGTTCGCACGTCAAAAAGTTCGTAAATCGAAGTACCATTTCCCATTGACATGCATGGGAACGGAATTAATCTGTTCCAGCATTTCAAAAGGCAAAAAAGCAGGGGGAAAGGGCTGGAAATTCAAATTTCCAGCCCTTTCTCCCTGCCTTTTTGCCTTCGGAGCTCTCAAAGGGCTTCCTCCGATGTCGGGCGGAAAGCCCTTTGAAAGCTCCGAAGGCAAAAAGGCAGAAAGAAAGAGCTGGAAATTCAAATTTCCCACCCTTTCTCCCTGCCTTTTTGCCTTTGGAGCTCTCAAAGGGCTTTCTCCAATGTCGGGGGGAAAGCCCTTTGAGAGCTCCGAAGCCGCTGATCGTGGTGGCGGGGACCTCCCAGGGCTTGCCCGCCACCATGGGAGACCTCCCTAGAGGTCCCCGCCGCCGTGATCTGTGCCTTTGAAGCTCTCAAAGGGCTTCGTCCAATGTCGGGCAGAAAGCCCTTTGAGCTCTCAAAGAGCTTTCCCTCGACGTCGGAGGAAGCCCTTTGAAAGCTCCAAAGACAGGGAGAAAGGGCTGGAAATTCTAACTTCCCGCCCTTTCTCCCTGCCTTTTTGCAGGGATCCATTTACGAACGGCTCCATTGGCAAAAAAAATGGCATTGACTTGCAAATGGAGCCTCGACCTCATTTGTAGGTCAAGCTCAGTTCGCAAGTCGATGCCAATTTTTGCCAACAGAGCTGTTCGTAAATCGAAAAGTCCGTATGTAGGGCCGTTTGTAAGTCAAGATTTGACTGTATCTTTTTGGCTTCTCTTGGTGTAGCAACTTTTAACATCATGGATTGAAAGAAGCAAGTGGGATGGATAGCTCATTTCTGGGAGAGATGTTCTGATAAGTATCAAAGTATAAAGCCTTTAAGGGCTTTATAACTCCTAACCGGCACCTTGAATTCAGCATGGAAATGTAGAGAGAGCCAATGAAGGTGCACCAAGACTGGGATGATCAAATTTACTAGTCTCAGCAATCATTCTGGCTGCCATATTTTGAACCTGTTGAAGTTTCCATACTGTTCTCAAGAGCAGCTCTATGTAGAGAACATTACAGTAGTCTGTTTTTTGAGATTATCAATGTGTGAACCCCCTGTTGCTAGGCATCTCTTATCAAAGTAGCAGCACAACTGGGCAATTAACTGAAATTGATAGCCAAGGGACTTGGCATCCTCTAAGCATAATCTCTTTGCACCTATCCAGCCCACCAGACCAGAAAGGAAATTTGGGAGTAGATACCAGGGAAGCTTGTTTATCCCATTTTGACTTTCTGACATCTATTTCCTCCTGGATCTATTGTCAGATTACGCTTAGGATCAGCCTATTAGTCTCAACCTTTTTTCTGTTCCTATTTCTCTAAGGGGCAGAAATGCTGCTGCTCTTCTCCCTTATGCACATGAAGGCACATGTCAGTCTATTTAGGATCAAGGTTAAGGCTTTTCTATCTGACATGTAACTTTCTTACTAAAGGTTTGTTTGTTTTCAACAGTGGGTCTATTGTGGGATTGATGGCCCATGTGCCTACACAACATCTCCTCTGCTTCAGAGAGAAATCTTTATGTTTTTCTTCTCTCTAACCTTGTGAATATTCATAACAGAAGTAAAACAGTACAGGGGATGGGGGAGCTGGACACAGGGAAGAAGGGAGATAGAACACAAGGCTAAGTGGATTCATTGGGTTTTAAGCCAGGCAAAGCTGGGTATATTTGCTAGTACATACATGTATCTATTCCATAGGCAGTGAGTCACTACATGTGTATATATAGTTATGTACATGCGTTTATATAGTTATATATACATGTGTATATATAGTTACAGATCTCCACAATTCTTTTTTTCTTTTCTATATATAGTTATGTACATGTGTATATATACGTAGTTATATATACATGTGTATAGTGTATATAGTTACAGATCTCCACAATTTTTTTTTTTTGTGATTACACAAGAAAATTAAGTTGTGTACTTCACTACCAAAGTAATACACCTGGTCATCTAAAGTTGGTGGAAGAGTAAGGAGATCATTAAGTCTAAGCTTACAACCTGGAGCAATCCATTGAAGCAAAATGGTGGAAAATTCAGGACAGGTCAAAGTCAGCCTTCCCTGACATAGTTACTATTTCACCTATAAAATACCCTATCACAAAATTCAGTGCCTTTCAAAGGAATTAAGCCATGGTGGATGGTTACTACTAGCCATAACAGGATGAAAAGGGGGTAGGGAAGAGGAGATCTATATATTTAACCTCAGTGGAGGAAAGGTGGAGTATATATTTTGCAGGAAATGGCTATATATTAATTTCTCTCTGGTACCAGGGGCAAAATGGACAGAAAGGTGCTATTGCACTCAAGTCTCATTTGTCAGTTTTCTGTGAAGCATCTATGTGACTGCTAAGAGAACAACACGCTAAATGAGGTGAACCTTTGGTCTGGACCAACTTGGCTCATGTTTATATGATTATTATTCCCTAAGGCTTTCTCACTGAAATGCAGAGGTTAAACTCTGACATCGCCTGTCCTTCTAACATTGCAGATGTTTGAGAGAACACAAACATCTATTTGTTCCCCATTAAACATAAGAACAAGAAATTCAGAAGAGCTGAAAGGAACATTTTCTTGTGGCGGCAAAGCCCCCCCCCCCCCGCTTCTTCCCAACTCCGGAGAAAAGAAAAATTCTTATCCCACGCTTTCAATGGGGAAACAAATGGAGCCGACAGCCCAGAACCCCCAGGTCTGTTCTCCTTACCTTCTCCTGAAACAAACTGCTGGTCCCAAAAGCATGCTATTCATTCTCTCCTCCGGCACCACTGGCGGCCACCCTGAACTTCCTTGCCGTTGCCTCTTCTGCTGTCCACTCCCTGGGGTGGGTTGAACAGTTCACACTCATAAGAGAAGGAACAAAAAGAGAGAACTCTGGTCTGCCTTCCTTTAGCTATAAACAGACCCCAAAATGGGCAGTACTCTCTCCCTGCCTCCAAGATACTGTTGGTCCTCGGGAAGGAGAACAAAAAAGAAGAGGTTATTCAAGTTCATCCTGCTAGCTCGCTGGCTCTCTCCATCTCTCCCTGTTAGCACGAAGAGACGTTCCTTGAATCAAGGTAAGAAATGGCAATCGGCTGTTCTACCTGACGGAAGAAGATTGGTCCGATACAATCTCCGATACAATATTGATGGTTCTTCCAGTGACTGCTGCCTTTGTTATTGTTGTTTGTGTGACTGTTGTCCTGCTAGCAACGTTATCTCAAAGCAGTGCAGTTCTTGCCTTGGCAGGGTCTTGGACTAGATCAGTGGTTCTTAACCTTTGTTACTCAGGTGTTTTTGAACTGCAACTCCCAGAAAATCCAGCCAGCAGAGCTGATGGTGAAGGCTTTTGGGAGTTGCAGTCCAAAAACATGTGGGTAACAAAGGTTAAGAACCAGTGGACTAGATCACTGGTTCTTAACCTTGGGTTACTCAGGAGTTTTGGACTGCAACTCCCAGAAGCCTTCACCACCAACTGTGCTGGCTGGGGTTTCTGGGAGTTGCAGTTCAAAAACATCCGAGTAACAAAGGTTAAGAACCACTGGATTAGATGACCCCCAGGGATGCCTTCCCCACTTTACAATTCCATGAATCTATGAATATAAGACCCTTTTGAATCCAGCTCCAGTCACAAAAATAGGCAAAGTTAGCTCAAAGATGTTTCAGTGCTTTCAATGGTCTATAAGATAAAGCCATATATAATTGGTAGTTTCCTTCCTGAGTGGACTCTCAATGCCTACAACTTGCACTGAAGAAGAAAAAAAGCCTTCAGTTTGCTGCAGTGCAAAATGTATACATGATCCCCTCATCTGGATCAGGACACGGCAAACACAGGAAGGGGCCTTACTGGTTCACAGAGTATTGTGAACTCTAATTGGCAGCTATGCTCCAAAGATTCAGGCAAGAGTCTTCTGTTGCCTTAACTGGACAATCTTTTAGGTTTCTCTCTCTAAGTTCTAACTAGCTGGCACTAGTGCCAAGCCTGCACATATTCCAAAATCAGTCAAGATCAATGTGCTCAAGGTAGCATTGTGCTCATTATTACAGCTATCAGAGTGTTTTGGACTACAACTCCCAGAATTCCATGGTCCAAAAAGTTTATTTTTTAAGCTCAGGTACGAACCGCAGTAATTTTAGTAGCTTCTACAAAAAGGCCAGAAAAGAAAATATTTGGAGCTGAATATTATGTGTGGCTCTCTGCTTGTCTTTCAAGACTGATCACAGCCACATGGAGTGTCCATGTTCAGCTGCAGCATACCTCTGAATAGCAGATGCTAGAGACAAACAGCAGGAGACGACCATGGCCATCATGCCTGGCTTGTCAGGTTTCCAGAGTTATCTTTGCTGGAAACAAAGCAGACTTTTCATCATATCCAGCAGAGATATTTTGCTTCATTAAGAAGAGTGAATATTTTCTAAATAACAACAACAATAAAAATAGTAAAGCAACCTAATCAAGTTCTTGCTGTTTCACTTTTGAAATAAGCTCTCAAATTTAAAAAAATAAATAAATAAACCTGACAAAACATGACCACAGTGGCAACTTTGAGCATTTAGTCAACATATTGTGCCCACTGTCTTTTTCTCAAAATGATTCTCTCCAATCCAACAATCCTTACAAGACAAGTACTGCAAGTCATAAATCAGAAGAACCCAGGCCACTCACAAGAGAAGCTGCCTCTAGTCTCCCTTAATCTGAATGACCATCACAGCAATGTGGTGATTAAGGTGGCCCTGAAACTTGGAGTGAGTGAGAGTAAGAATAAGAGTGGAAGGGAAGTCTACACTTTCAAACTGAACTGCAGTAACCCAGAGATCTTGGCTGCATCTGTAGTGCTGTGCCGGGTTTGACTCCACTATCAGCATTGACCTTTGGTCAGACTGACAGCAGGAAACACAGTCGTGACTTAGACTTTGTTAGAGAACTCAAGCAGGAAAATTCCCATTAGTATTCTTCCCTTGAAGGGAAAACTGGGGGTGAGGGGCAAGAATGGTCACCCCATCTCCCATCCTCCATAAAATAACATCAGACAGTACTAATCAGGGTAAGATTCAGGTTGGGGAAACTCCTCCTGGCATGCTGGTCTGGGGGGAAAGCACCAAACAGCTCTCAGTGCCGATCAACATACCTGTACTTGCACACATCCCATTTTCCCTGAGATGGGTCATGTCTGACACAGAGAAGGAAAAGCCAATACAAAACGATTCATGGCTGAATTAACTGTTCCTGAGCTCAACATGCATCTAAGTTAAGAGCTAACAAATGATTAATCCCTTTTTAAACGCCTTCTTGTCTCTTTGCTAACTTTGGCCGTCCACCTCCACATTCTGTCAGACAGAAACCAAAGTTGCCACTACACAAATTTGCATTCAGATTTAGGAAACTGACTCTTTGAACCAACTTAGAGATAGGTGCACAGCTTATTGGAGACCCACAGGATGTACTCTGTTTCAACAATCAAGGATTGAAACAAACGGGTAATTAATTGACATCTCAGATTACCAAGTCAAAATAATGTTTGTACACATCCTTTCATACGTTTATATAACTAATCTAGTTCAACCCCATTTGTTGTTGTTGTTATTGTGATGATGATGTGCCATGAAGTTGGTTCTGACTTACAACCACCCTATGAATTAGTGGCTTTCAAAAGTTGCCATCATTAACAGTCCTGTTCAAGTCTTTAAAACAGAAGGCCATGGCTTCCTTTAGTGAATCAATCCATCTCCTATTCAGTCTTCCTCTTTCTCTACTGCCTTCCACTTTTCCCAGCATTATTTTATTTTCCAGTGTGTCTTGTCTTCTCATTATGTATCCAAAGTACAACAGTCTCATGTTCATCCACTTTCTTCAGGAAATGTTAGGTTCACCATGCTAGAAAAGGGAGATTCATGGACTCATTGAATTGTAAAGTTGGATAGGAGCTGCGGAATCATCTAGCCCAACCCCTGTCAATACAAGATTCATCATATGGAGGTTGTTCTTTAGGTAACGTGAGGAAAAGTGCAAAGATTTTGAGGGTGTATGCTACTGAACGAAAGACATGTATCACTATATGGAGCTGCCACCATTGTACATTGAAGAGATGAAATATTGTGGCTGCAGCTGTTAGTAAAGGAACTGAGAAAATACCCAATTTGAAAATTAAAAAGTACTGCTAGAAGCAGGAAAAGGAGAATGACAGCTAAAAAAAGGGGGAGAAAGTGCATGCAATGTTCTGTGCATCAGAGAACATTTCACAACATCATCCCCCCCGCATGAAGCCAAATGGCAAGATAAACTTTCTGCAGACTTTGCCCTGCCAGGTTGCATTCTGTTCTCACAATGGATGAAAGTACTACAAGCTCCTCTCCTGGAAAACTATGCTGCAAGCGAGACAGAATCTCCTGGGCTCCAAGCCAGCAAATGGCATGGGCTGCAATCAGGGCATGTCCCCCAGAAAGCAAACAAGAACCGTGAATATCTCCAGGATGCCGTTGGGCGCTCAGCGTGTCCTTCTGGTGCTCTAAAGCCCTGCCCTTCCTGAAGTCTTGTTTTGGTGACACATGTCAACCAGTAAATTCCACTGACCACACAAACCCATAGCTCTTTGTATGTGACCATTAGTCCCAGCGATCAACACTGGCTGGTCTATTAAATAACAGCAAATAATCAAATAATGATATTGCTCTCACATAAAATAATGTTTGCAATACAGTATTGTGGGCAAAATGTCTCTCTACACTTTTGTGTTGGTGCTAGTTTTGGGTTACATTGTTGTTCTGTGCCATATGTCACTTCTGTCTTATGGGAACCCTATGAATTAACGACCTCCAAAAGGCACTATCGTTAATGATTCTGCTCAGGTCTTGCTAACTCAAGTCCATGACTACCTTTATTGATTCAGTCCATCTCATGTTCAGCCTTCCTCTTTTCTTACTGCCTTCAGTTTATTCCTAGCTTTAGCAAGAACTGGGTTTTTTCAGTGACTTCTGTCTGCTAATGATACATCCAGAATATGTACAATAGATTTAGTTCCATCACCGTGTTAAAAAGGAAATTCTATGTTGTACATGAAGTCCTGTTGCTTAGCATGGAAAGTTGTAGATTGAGCAGGCCTATTTGAATCAATGGCACTTATGGAGGAATTGATTTACCTAATCCCATTGATTCAGTGGACTTGTGGCAACAGGATATCAGCCATGGAGAATCAGAAGTGGATGAAGGTGACAATAGGAAAGGCATGCCTGGCAGAAAGTTACATCCCTTCAAACCAGTTAAATAGGCTAACAAAGGCTTGAGGAGTGTTAGAAGCATTTTAATACTATAAGTCAGATCCCTGTCTAACACAATGACACCACACTTCCCAAATTTCCATATTGCATGATTCACCTGAGGAAATTAATGTCTCACAAACAATCCAGTGGTGGCAGCAATCTACATATCATTATCCTACAAGCCCTCAAAATAGCATCTTTAAAGAACATCAAAGTCAAATTTTGTTACTGTGGCTGCTGCAGCTGCCACTGCCACTATTAAAGAAGCACATTTTTTAAAAAAAAGCCATGTGGAATCTTAATGGACAGGAAGACATGAAGCATCTAGCATATATTTACTACACAGTAAATCCCACTGTGTTCAAAGGGGTTTATTTCCAAGGCAGTGCTGGACTGTGGCCTTGTGCTTTTATGAAGAGCCCATTTCATCAGATGAGTTAAGTGCCATTATTACTTGGTAGGTTTGCACACAGAGATGGGGCAGTCATCCAACCAATCCATATTTAAGGGGAAGAATTTTGGGTTTAATGGGCTTAGCCCTGGCTTGGACTCAAAGAATCAGACTCAGACTTGGGACTCAAATCCAAAGACTTGCCAACATCCCTGCCCGTAACCACTCCAGTATGCCACCGGTATCTTTATTTTGATTTCTTTCTTCTTTTTCAAAATTGAATAAGCACCCTTGCACCTCCAATAGCCAAAAAGTTTTTAAAATTAATTTAGGAGTGTGGGAGCCCCCTGAGGTGCTGGTGGGACTCCAGTCATGACAAAACTGCCCTCTCATGTTCCCTAGAGGGAACTTTTTGAACACATTTCATTTTTAAAAAATTAAAAATTAAGAGGTGGAAGGACCCAGGAGGCTGAGGTACTGCCTCCTGGAAAGATGAAGCCAGACTTCTTCCTCATTGCCATTTATCACAGACTTGGAAATGTAGCTTTGGAAGAACCGCTGAAGAATATGTTCCAATAGAGCAAAATGAATGTGCAACAGTATTCACTGGAAAATACGTTTTCACCATATATACCAGGCAACTTATGCCTTTTCCTGAATACCTCTTCTCAATTGTATAAAGTAACATTCAGCATTTTTCTGTGGAAAAGCAAACACAGCCTTTCCCTGATCTTCCTTGGCCTCTACTGTCTTCCTAGGTATACACAGCTGTTGTCTCGTGGCCTGCACAAATATTACAACATGTTCCTTCACTTTCCAAAAATCCATATCTCCTCCTTCCTCCATCTAACAGTTCAGATAACAACACTAAACATAATAAAAACATCTCTGTAAGAAACAGGAGACTTGGATTTTCCCCTCTCTACTCCATGAGTTGTTATGTTCTTTGCAAACACCCTTTAATTCCACTCTCTGACTATTTTAAGCTCCAAGCTCCATGGAGCTGAACTATCTGACTGAAGTATGTGGGCTTTGAAAACTGTGTAAGACCAGCTTTTTTTCATTGTGGGACTAGGGAAGGTCCTTGTTCTGTCAAGAGTCAGAAGAGGAGGACACTGTGGAAGCCAGCAGAATCCATGGCTCCAGTGTTGGTGCCTAGGACTTGGACTGGGTCTGTGGTGGTAAGCCTAAGAAACTGAGTGCCTTCCAGCGTGTTACATCTGCCCAGTGGCGTAGTGAAGCCAGGACTCACAGGATAAAGCCCTAGGAGGACTTTATGAGTATGAAGAACTATGACACAATCTGCCAATGCTCAGGTTTTTTTGTTCACTCTTAGTTGCGATCCTCACAGTGGCTGGGAGAAAAGTAGATTTTTTTTCCAAGGAAAAGTGAATTATTGCAAGCTATTCTTGCTGTGATTCAAGCAATTTGAGGAGGGTTTGGTCTTGAACTCATAATGAAGAGCCACATTCTTTACAAAGTGACTGCCCTTCATCTGTTGTTCTGGACTGATTTAATGGTTTCTATGTCTGGGCTGTCCTTATGGGGTGGCACAGCTATGGGGACTGTCACAAGTTCCTGCTCTTCCAAATGTACTACTATACACTGTTTATGCCCCCAAAACATAGTTAGTATACAGGCAGGAGGCCAAGGAAAGCGGCACCAGGTACAGAGTATCCCTGAAGCATTCTTCAAGAACACAGGCACAGCTCAGGAGATACGTAGGCAGAGATCCGTAAGGCCTCAATCCACTTCTAGCTTTCACAGGAGTAAGCTGTTCATGGGTTACTGTTCTGAACGCTATACAGTAGTAATATGCCTCCCTGGCTACTTTGTCTGAGTTGACTTGTAGGAACCACCTATAGAAAGGGGGGGGGATGATGCCCCTCAGTATCTGCCACTTGAAGCATCTGCCTTACTCAGCCAACTGAAAGGGCCAGGCCTGCTTGCCAGGAAACTAATCCACTCACTTGCCCGCCCTGGTTACCCTTGCCGTCTTTCTTTCAGAGCTCCATTATATCCTCCTTGAGATGGGATAAACAGAACCATATTCTTAAAACAACTATCATAATATTTCCACAAGAAGACATGAGAGCAACAGCCGTCCCTCACAGCTGGCTCCTCCTCAGCAACTAGTACTCAGTGGCATGGTGCTGGTGGAGCAAAGGATCATGGCTCTGGAGACTTGCGCTAGGATAAACGGGGCACTGCTGCACCTGAGGGATTCCCAGTATGGTGTAGTGATGGACAAGGACTCTGGAGAACAGAGTTTGATTCCCTATTCAGCCATGGAAACTGACTGAACTGACTTGGGGGGGGGGGGAATTGGTAAAACCACTCCTTGAATACCTCACTTACCTTGAAAGATGTATTAGAGTCATTATAAATTGGCAAGGGCACAAAACACACACACACACACCACCTGAAGCTCTGGGTACCCTTTCAGGCTTTTATCTTTACTAGAAGTGGAGGGTCCTGGCCTCACCTGTGCTCTCCCACTTTATATTTGAATTCTTCCATATGTGTGTGTGTGAGAAAGAGAGAAAGAGAGAGAGCGCACCACATGTCATCTTGTGCTGTGCCTTCTGCCCCCATTGCCACAACAGGCAGCAGCTGCTACAGCATCATAATTAAGGTAATACATGATGATATCCTGTTGCCACAAGTCCACTAATTCCAGTCAGCCTCCTCCTGCTGTTTGCCTGAAGTTCATCACAGCTGCCATTTCACTACCTTTCAGGTAAAACCTTCCCTCTCAGCTTCCATATCAATTTCTTCGACCACAATGCTGAGTGAACGAAGCACACTTTCTCCTTCTCCATTTCCTTGCCACTTGACAATAAGAATGAAGCTGTATGGTGCTGACCTGAACACTATCTGCTCGGTCATCACCGAGGTGGTTATCTAAACACTGGTTTATCCAAGCCAAAACAGGTCAGAAGTGTAGTACAGCAGATAACCTGTAGACCTGCCTGCAGGTTTTGGATACTTCTGAATTAAAGAGGTGACAACGGTAGACGTTTTCACACAACCTTCCTGAAAATGATCCCCAAGCAAGAAACCAAGCACAGAAACATGCCTTTTCATGTCTGACAAGCTCCCCAACGGCCAAGAGACTGGCTTCTGAATTACAAACAGTAACTACAGGAGTAAATCCATAAATATCGGAGCTGGAAAAGTTCTCAAATGACCAGAATGGCCACAGGTTGCACTGCCTGAGGCACTCTGAGAGTTGCAGTCAAAAAAAAAAAAAAAAAAGGAAATTGTCCAAACTCTTCTTAAAACACAAACACAAGGGCTGGGCCTTCCCTGGCCTGCTGCCCTCCAGGTGTGTTAAGGCAACCACTTCCAGAAGAGCGCCCCCTGCCCATGGGCAGCTGCAGCTGCATTCCAACATCTATGAAGAGCACCCAGTTAGCCAAAGCTGCCTTTTTCCAGGCCCCTTTCACGATGACCTAAAGTCACAAAAGGAGGACTGTCTTCTCGCTGGCAAACAAGAATGGTTGCCCCTCTCTAGCTGAAGTGGACGTCTCCTCTTTTTCCAGGATATTAGCTGTTGCAAATAAACTCAGCAACTCACTGTGATCTTGCTGCCAAAAAAAGTGTGAGACTTTTTAGGTACAGAACAACTAAACTGGATGTTACACTGACAATTCGTAGCTCCGGTGCGGCCACAGCCACAGCTTTATACGGCCCACCCGCCAGCCCTCCCCTTCTTGCGGCAATAGAAGGTGAATCGAAGCTGTTACAAGCGTCCAGGAGCGTCCCTTCGCCTTTGGCAGAGTCCAGAGGTGGCCCCTGCACCATTAACACCCCTCCACCGCCAATTCGGGGAAGGGGGAGACTTCCACCTTCGACCCCATATTCTAGACATGCTCGAGAGATACGGAAATCGCCCTTCTCCTGCCTCCTCTCCCCGCTCTGTCCCGCCGCGGCTTCGTTTGCGAGGGGCTGTTCATTTCCTATCTCCTTCAAGTATTCTGAATACGATCCTCGCGACGATTCCGACCCCCGACCGGGACACCTCGCTCGCTCTGTTTTACTGACCACTAGGAAGACATGAAGGGAACCCCGTCCAGCCCAGAGTCCTCCCCCTCATCCACACGCGCCGGTTCACGTGTA